TATATCATAAAATGTATATATAAGACAAGAAACTCGTGATTGAATATAAAGAACATTAGTAGTAAAATATATACAATACCTCCAAATATTTTTTTGTGCCTGGTTGCGCACAATGATAAGCAATGATAGAGGGATATTGTCCTTGTAACACTGCTTCTGCACTTTTATTAGCTAATGCCGTAGAGAAGACAAAGATTTGACTTTGCTGTTGCATATATTGAGCTTCTCCACTACTCGTACTAGTACCTATTTGCTTTCCAAGAACATTGCTAACAAGTGGTTGTATTCCATCGGTAGTAATCACATTTCCGCTGCAATCTAATAAAGCAATGATATTTTGTTTAGTATAGAGATATCTATAAGACTGTCACATTTTCAGATCATTACATAATACCTGGCAAATCTTCAGCTGGATTATTGTGATCGCCTTCTTGCTTCACAGAATTTAAAATTGGTTGATTTCCATTACTACTTTGATTCTCAACAGACATTGTTCCATCCCCACTGGTCGGATCCAAACAAGGATCTCTTGGACACTCTGTTGTATCTTCACCAGAAGCATCCTCGTTATTACCACCTGTACCTTCTTCCTTAATCTTGACAGAATCTGTATCTGGTTCCTCCTTGACAACTGTTGTAGGTACGCAACTTGGCTCACTTGGTTTTTTCTCTGTTTTCATGTTTAAAGTCTTGCGTATAATAACTACAATGTCAGACGTTGGTAGACAATATAAGGACCAGATGCATGGCCACTACCATCCGCAGAGTGCGGAAAAATTGAGGTTATCAATGGAAAAACATTCACCAGTTTTGCAGAAGTCTGTGCTTAATAAGTATCTCGAGATATTACCCTCGAGTAAAGCATGGCCGTGAAGTTCCTACTTCCCGGTAGAACGTATTTCGACGAATACAAAATTCGAACGTTTTTAGTCATTTAATTAATTAAACCTACGTAGAGGTTCCACGACATAGAACTCGATTCTTGTTGTAAGAATACAACCGATACGAGTATGCAAAGCTAAAGGACCAATATCATAGAGATATTGAAAGTAGGAAAATATCCAAATGTCAGCCTCGATTCCACAGCAAATACATAACGCACCTTCAATTATTATATAGTAGGATACACCACGTTACATCGCGGAAGACCTGTCGAAAACATACGAATAAGTCTAATACACGCTTTACACAATTTCTCTCGCGATATTTTCGAGCATTGTTCTTCAACTTTATTTGTCACTTCATGGTCGCTTTGATTATTTATTTCTTTTACGCACGGCTGCCAACTGCCCGTTGAAGTTAGACAGCCTTTTAATGCACTTCGGACAAGGAAGTTCTTCTGCGTCTTCGTTGGATAAAGGAAGACGGAAAAAGTGCATAGCCGTACCTGACTTGTTCCTTATACACTTGCTCACTTACACGGCTATTATTTTGGTCTTTCTTTGGTTATATTTTCACCTGCTTCCAACCTTTATCCCATGTGTTACTTCTCGATTCCATGCCCCTGTATATCCTCCGTAGCAACAGAGAGGATTAATTTTTATGATCTTCACAATCGGAACGTTACATTTATTTCACACGGATCAAAGCTGTGAAATTAAATTTGGAATACATGAGATCAGGGCCGGCTCGAGCAATATTATCACCTACGCACTTTATCGTCCATATCCTTAATGCTGATTTCTATTTCATATAACAGTGTCTACTTTTATGTAAAGATTATTTCTAGCTACGCAACTAGTTCCGATATTATTATTTTACTACGCTACGTCGATTGAATTTCAACATAACTTCATTAATAGACTGACTTTCTTTTTATTTTTCATTTCGCATTTTTCTCACTCTTATTTAATTATTTTGTTTTTAATTGAAACAACGTCTAATTATAGAATTAATCGAGCTTCCGAAACAAAATTAACAGTTAAAGTGTATATATATATACATATATATATATATATATATGTATATATATATACACATATATATACGTTTGAGTCGAGATTTTACAAGTTTCTAATCGTTTTGATTAGAAATATATAAATATACTGATTCATATTTAGCATGTATTTTCACTCTGGCTATTTTTTCCGTTTAAATTAATGTTACTATACATTCTTACTGTTGATACATTAATATATCATACGTCTTATGTTACAAACTTACATTATTAAAAAAATATTTTGAACATAATCATTCCTTCTCTGAATTTCTTATAGTAGTATTGCCAACATATAAATATCTTATTCTAAAGTGCTGCCGCCTACGCACGTGTTCTTTTTTTACTTTTCTATTTTAAGGCGGCTTTTTTAAAAATGTTCAGAAAATATTTAAATTATTACAATTTCTCAGCAAATGATAAGAAAATTGTTTAATGATAAAAAATTTTAAATGATAAGAGAAATATTTAAATGTATCATAATTATAGGTTAATTTAAATTGTAATTTAATCCATAGAAAAATAAATTAAAAACATTTTTTCTTGAATTCTAATAATAACCTTCAAATTAATAAAACTTCTTGCAATAAAAAAAAAATTAACGAGATGTATACATATATATATAATATATATATATATATACATTTATTTATACATATAGAATCGATTTTATATATATTTTTATTTACATATATTCAATCATTGTTTCATTGAATTCAATATGGACGTATACACAAAGCTACTTAAGTCTATACATTGTACATAAGTTTCTTCTAAAAAATTATAGTCATTTAAGGAAAATAGTGCTTCGATCATATTGAATAAAAATTAAAATCGATTAAAAACATGTAATATAAAAAGAAATCAAACAAATGTTACCAAATAATTGAAATAATTCCATTGTAAAACGTACATAACCTTTGAAATTTTTCAAATGATATTTTTTTACAGATTAATATATATTAATTACAAAATGTCACAATTAGAATTAGATCCTCAATTTACACAAGGGTTAAGACTTTTACATTCTACAAATAAAGATTCTGCTGAACAGTTAAGGGCGCTTTTAGATGAAATAATTAAACAGAAGTATGGCCCATCTAAAATGCTTTCTAATGTGTTGCACAAAAAGGTATATATATATATATATATATATATATATATATATATATATATATGTGTGTGTGTGTGTGTGTGTGTGATTTATCAATATGATAAAGTATTATGGTGTAACAATAACTTTTATTTGTTATTTAGTATATGATGGAAGAACCAGTATTGAGTGATCACAGTAGTAGTAGCAGCAGTAAAAAGAGTAAAAGTTCTAAACATTCGAGTAAATCAAGTAAAAACAGTTCTCCAGTTAATTTACCAGCACGGGATACTCCTCCAGAGATTATTCAATCTGATGACACATTAGCATTAGAAATTTTAGAAGACGATTTAACTTGTGTAATTTGTAAAGGAATGGATGTTGGAGCGAGAAACAGACTTGTTGAATGCGTAGAATGTCATTCTTTGTATCATCAAGAATGTCACGTTCCACATATATTAGATTCGCAAATAGATGTTCCAAGACTAGTGTGGTATTGTTCAAACTGTACAAAATCTCAGGTGTGTGTATTCAACCATATTATGTTGCATTTGCATTTTGCACAAATGCAAAATTTAAATGCACAGATATATACATAGAGAACCTTAATGCTTTCATTATAATCTATTTTAGACACCAAAAGAAAGAAGCTCACCAAAGACTGTAATAGAGAGTAAATCCAAAGAGCAAAAGAAACCTAATTCAAGTAAGTACAGTAGTACATGATATTCAGTACATAAAATACCATTATGTTATCATTTCATTTTCTTTAGGCTCGAAGCACTCAGAAAAATACAAATCATCATCAAATAATGTAAATCAATCACAACCTATTAATAGAAATAGTTTTCCATCTGGCATAGGTGGTGGTCCGAAGATCATACCGAACATTCATATCATTAGTGCAGATAGGAGATTGAAGGATATGATGAAAAAGGCAAAACAAGAGAAGCGTAGTACAAACAACAATGCAAATTCCAAAAATTCCTCTTCTGCTTCACCAGCGAGTTCTTCAGGGAAATCTTCTCAGGAAAAATCTGTAATGTACAAAATTAAATCAGGAGTGGAGTGAGATGTTTAATTTCATTACAGATAACATCCTACCTTAAATATGAAATCGATTGACATGGTAGCCAGTTGTTTGCCTAGTTCAATGTATAAAATGTAATAACATTTTTTTTATTAAGTAAAACATAAAAGAATATCAAATCTTCTTGATATAAATATATATATATAGGACCAATAAGTTTTTAATATTATAAATAAAATTCACTTGAATTTATATATAAAATAAATAGTACCTAACAAATATTTATAAATGTAATAACTTACATTATGATTAATGATGTAAATATGATTTTATCCTTCGCACAACATAAATCTATGACAATAAGTTTTTAATGTAAAATTTATATATGTATGTATGTATATATATATATATATATATATATATATATATATATATATATACATATAAAATTTTAGATAAGTTTAGTACATTATAGTGAAGAAAGTATAATTTGTTAATCCATGATTGTACATCTATTACATTGTACGTACTATATATAAAAAATTTTTTACTAAAATTAAATAGAAATTTGTATTATATATAATATTTACTATCTCAATAGGATGGAAAATATACAAAGAAAAATGAGACGACGTCAATTATAATACCAATATATTTTCGCGATTCTTCAAATGCTTACTTCTTTGTTCCTACGTCCCATTGAAAATTTGGCAAGAGTCATTTCGTTCTCAAGTGTAACTTACAATCTATTCATTTGCAGGATGGGGAGGAATTGAATATTATTTACATTGATGAGGACAGGGGGGAGGAGGAGCCTTATAAAGGATACAATTGGCACGCGCGCGCACACACACATATATGTATTCACACGTACGTAGAGCCGCGACGCAATAAACGCGCGCGATTTAAAATGAATTGCATTCATACATTCTTAACAGGCAGATTACCTAAAGGACAAAGGAGAATGTCGCTTTCTTTCTTTCCAAGCAAAAAACGTATTGGAATCCACGATTCTTTTACACACCGCGTACATCATAATTCCCAACCGTACATATACAGAGAGAGATATTTATTACCAGGAATAATTACCCTCCCATCCCCATCCTTCATGAAGCTTAACAAAGAGTAATCTTAATTCGACATGATCCTCGGTTTCTTTTTTTTCTCTATACTACGAAGCATGATACACTAATTGGGCTCACGATATCTTCATCATCGAACCTTCTCAGTCAATTACATTATAATACATACGTTGAATGCTGAATTGACAAGCTTTTCAGATGGATGGAGTTGACTGTCGCACATATAATAAGAAAATTATCCAAAATTTCTCTCCGACGATTATTCTATTTTATCTTTTTCCTTTTCTCTTTTCTGGTTAAGATGTTATCCAGTTTGCATACATAGGCGCGGAATCTCATTCGCAGCGCAATTGGGATTTTTTTTGCAAATTATTGTACATACATGAAATATTTAATCTAGCATCTAATACTATCCATAAATCTGTTCAACGTCCCATTCGATTTTTATGAATAATATTTTAATGCCGCATTGCAGATCTTTTTTCACGAATGTTAAACGTCTTTCTTTTTTTTGTGTTTAAAAGAACGACCATGTAACGAATACTTTTCGTTTCATGCCAATGAAATGATACCTCGTTAATTCTGATAGTAACGAGGAGACACATTTTTTATTTTTATTATTTTTTTTTTCATTAAATACGCTTACACGCGTATTTTTATCCATGTACGTTAATCTGTACGTTTCTAAATAAATAAATATATATATATATATATATATATATATATATATTCACAAGTTTTTAAATAGAAAAAAAAATTAAGAAAAAAATGCGATTCAAAAAAGTGTGTCAAGTTAAGAGTTATATATATTTAATGAATTACCTTTTATATATTAAATTATTTCATGTATCAATCCATACAAGCGTACGCTTTTATTTTTTTAATTAAAAAACTTGATAACATATCTTCACGATTAGAAAAAGTTTTAGTTTTTATAACCTCTATGATATATTACGCGGCAAAATTGAATCTTTTGTACCAAAAGCTAATATTGGTATAATTACGAGTTAATAATAAATCTAAATATATTGTTTTTGCAGTTAAGCGAATAAAGCAATAAAAATGCATTTAAGGTTGTTGAAAGTCACATTCCAAAAGCCATACTACAACGAACAGTCATTATTCCTATTTATTACAAATTTATTTGTCATTTTTAAACCAACAAAATATTAATCGTATTCGCTTCTTTGAAAGTTTTTTTTAACGCATTACCTGCCACACACCAAAGTAAGTAATAATGTTTATTTTTTTGTTTTCATTTTTTTGTTTTTTTTTTCTTGTTTTTTTTTTTTTAATTCATCATTAAGGAATGAAAAATATATATTCATACTATTTCTAACGAGCGTTGTAAAAAAAGGGACGCTCTTTGATTTTTTTATTTTATTTTATTTTCGTAAGCGATAATCTTATCATCGCATTAGATCATCATTACTAAACTATCATCATTATTTTTCCTTTATTCGTTTACTTAGGTTAGGGCAGATAAAGAGTTAATATTTATGGACATTTTATCCATAAAATTGTACGTTTACAATATAGTCATATAATGCGCGTTGGTAAATCGTTGATTTTTATATAAACTAGTACTACATAAGTATAGACGGTTTATGTGTCAATATATTATATATATACACGATTTTAAAAAATAAAGTAAAAATAAAAACGAAACGCTTTTTTTTTCTTCTAGTACAAATACCATATAATTTGGTCGTCCATTTGTTAATTAAAAGTTCAGATCTATTTGGAGTTAAAAAAGAAAAAAAAAATAAATTATAAAAAAAAGAAAAATTATTACGTGTTAGAAAATATTAAATATCATATCTTGTATCGAAATTCAATTTCATGTTAACACTAACGTTTTAAATGTATGTCACATATATCGCGTTTGTTTTTACAATATTTTCGCGAACGAGGATCATACATCTCATTTCTTTATACGAATGTATGTATGTGTTTACAAAAATAATACTAACGATACTCTCGTATTTTCACAATAACATTTTTGTGTAGAAATTCGAGTTAGTTTCGTCTCGAGAATAGAACTTAATACATATATATATATATATATGTATATATATATATATATATATATATATATATATATATATATATATGTATATATATAAAAATTTAAAAAAAAAAAAAATAAAAAAATAAAAAAAAAAAATAAAAAAACTATAAAAAAAAGTGTATACATACATACAATACAATCTTGCACTCAATTTGATACAAATACTCACAGAGAGACATAAAAAGAATTATGCGAAAAAATGTTGATGTTGTGTACAGATTAACGCACATTTCAATAATAGAGAAAGAGTTAGTCTGTAATATAAATAAATACAATACATATAATAGAGTGAGATAATATGAATTAATGTCGCAGGGGAGGGATTCTGGAGACTTAAGATTAATTGAAATACAAGGAAGAGGATTGTTAAGTACAAGAGAGTGATTTTTGTCCCCAGATTCCCTAGGCCTACATCGACAGAACATCAGCTGCTCTTTCTTTTCTCGTTCTTTTTTTATTTTTTTAATTCGATCTGAGTAACACTTTAAATACGTATTTCTTGTTAAACCGATCGAGAATTTATAATGTAGCGCATAAAGAGCCTTGGCAGTGCGCGCTGAATTGATTAAATTCTTTCTTTTGTTCGGAATAATACATGTGTGAGATGAATAACGATCATCTCAAGAATGTGACTTAAAAAATGAGCCAGTCTTATATTAACTAAACATAAAATGCATTTATAAAGGAATACTATGTAAATGTCGTTGTAAACGACAAAATTGTCTTTGATGCATTTGCATCAGTGACTTTCTTCTTTACGTCTCGTAAAATAGATGAAAAGTGCTTCTTGACAAATATACACATTTTGTTCAATACTGTTGTTGTCTCTCCTAATCTGATGATGGAAAAAAAAGAAATAGAAAAAAAAAAAAAAAAAAAAAAAAATAAAAAATATTGCGTGTGTATATTATGTATATCCAATCATATAAAACATTTTTTTTGCATTTGTTATACGGTTCCTCTTAATAATATACGATAAGAATCATCATTATTGAATGATCAGTGTTAATAATAATATGTATATAAGTAATAGTAGTAGTAATAGTAATAGTAATAGTAGCAATAATAGTAGTAGTAGTAGTAGTATGAATAGTAATGTAGTAATGATAGAGATGATAATATAATAGTAGCAGTAATAATGACAATAATGACTCGTAATTGTAATAATAAAAATTTCACACATATGTGGTCAAGATTTGTTCGCTATAGTCTCTTTTTTATCTTGGCCACACACGTATTATTAGAATAAAATAAACCATGACAATGATGATGATCTTACTGATTTTTTTTTCTTCCTGAAAACGACGATTGCAAATTACACAACAACGATATTTCATATCCATATGATTGCCTAAAACAAGTATGAACAAAATATGAATTCTAAACAATGTGTAATAAAGACGTTTTTACGTAATAAAAGTAGATAGGCCTAAACTGACTGAGCTGCTCACATAACTCTTTATCATTTAATTTTTCGCTAAAGTTATTTTAATCGTCTTAATTTAATATTATCTCTTATTTTGCCTCTTTCAACAGAGCATTTAACCCTTCAACTTATAATACATATATAGTCCCTCTCTAGCTAGCTCACTACAATCCATGAAAGTGTGTGTTGCGTGATTTTTGCTTTATATATTTTTCATGTGTATATATATATTTATATATATATATATTTATATATAACATATTAATAATTATATATCGTAATGAAGATAGTAGGCATAGCCACTCGTGCTCGGATCACAGACTACTCGCTGCCGTACACCTTTCGTACAGACAGTCTGGTGGACACAATGGCTTTTTCACTTGTTCTCTTCTTGCACGTATTATTTGTGTGTTGTATATATACGTTTTGTTCTATTTATAAATGCATAGATATTCACTTAGTCAGAATTTAAAAGTCACATTCACTTTCTAATGAATAATCACATTAATTAATTTGCATCTCTAATCCTTAAACCTATGTATTTTTATGTACTATAGCACAATATCTTTGAGTAGCCAAGATCTCTAGTGCGAAAGTTTTACATGCAATATATCACACATACTATCATTGAGATTCAAATGAGTATTTCAGTCGCTCGTCTCATCAATATATTTTACAGTAGGCATTCAATTTATCATTTTAAATTACCTCTATATTATATTACAAGTTAGGTTTAAGGATTAAAATTGCCAATACTGCTTGTTAATATCTATGCATGTTCGCCAGTGCATTTAATGACACAAACAAAACACTGCAACAGGATTATGACATCCCGTGCACTATCACGTGGCTATCCTTAGCAAAATCACACATACTTACGGCATTGTTATGCACATGGCGTGTATATTTGTACATATGTAACGAGGTGTATCTGATTCATGAAGTGGAGGCACTAGTCAGTGTTTCTGGAGAGGTCGATAGGTCCTGGGATGGAAGGTAGGAGGTTGTGTCAGCAGGCACTAGTCTCTTCTCCTTGGAGCGTGCACGCTACATTTTCTAGTTTATGTGCTAGGTGTAATTTGCGACAGCCTGCGTCTGTCTCCAAGGCCTCTAAAATCTGAAGTAAATGCACATATAATATTGTGTAGATAGAAATATAATACCTGTTGAGAAAACATGAAAGTTTTACTAACTTGTTCATAATACTTGCTGACATAAATGTACAGTTCTCTCAATGCTACAATTACGTCAAATTCATTTGCATGAGATGCACTCAATTGTTGCATGGCACTAGACATTTCCTGATCTGTAATTTGTGGCAACATCTGTACATCCATATAGAAACGACCGACCTTTTCTCTATAATGTGGTATATCCTTGGCAAAAAGTAATTTATTCGACGGAGAATCTTTGCCTAATCTGTGTTCTGTCATGGAACATGAATCCATAAATGTCTGTGCTATTACAGAAAGGCTCGAGTCGACTGTCGTAGACTTGTTTATATCGAACATGAAATCTGGATTTTTAATAAAATTCACCCAAAATCTTAATGGCAAACTATTGGATTTCCACGCGTGTGCCACTTCTGGATCTACAATACCATGTTGTTTGGCAGCTTCGTCCAACAGGTCAAATAACCATTTAACAGCACTAGGCAGTGCTTCATTAGCTGTCAATATCGTATTAAGAAAGTCGTCAACGAACTTTTGGACAGTGCCTTTCGTTGAAAGCAATCTCGTTAAGAATATTTCGGGAATGGCTTTGTGGGTTCGTTCAGGATGATGGTGTTTATTACTCGTGAAACCCATTCCAGGAGGGTAATGTACTTCTTCTATAGGCCTCACCAAATGGTATAATCGTTGATTACCCCCGTGTCCACTCTCAACATCACCATTTGCCGTTATTATCGGGGGTGAATGTTGAGAATCGAAATAACAGCCGCTAACAGGATGATTATACATTATAGGACTTATTAAGCTGTGATTTGGTGCAGATGGAAGGTGAGTGGACGAACAATGATTTGCATGTCGATGTAAATGGTGATGATGGCCATGATGATGAATCGGTTGTTGTTGATGATGATAATGGGATGGCTTGCATGCGTGACACGGTAGTTTACAAGGAACAGGAAAGCCATCATTTTGTCTAGGAATAAGAGACATTACTGCAGATTCCTTAACGCCATAATGAGCTAATGTATTTATCTTCTTCCATTCGCCGCTACACTTGGTAGTCAGATCTTCATCTTGAAGTGTTAAATGGCCACCGCGGCCGTGTCTCCATTCTAGATCTACATCGTGAACGGACGGCTTTAACGAAAAAGGAGTATTCTTGTAAAGAGCATCTAGAATTTTAGATTTCACTTGACTTATCGTGTCACAATCTAAAACTTTGCATTGAATTTTTTCATCCAAATCATCTTGTACAACATGCAAAGTCACAACGCTGTGCTCAATTTGTTCTCGTAAAAGTCTTTCCTCGGACAATGAATAACGTGCGTCGTGCGTTATAACGTCCACAGGACCTTTCTCTATTTGATGTTTTATAGCTTTGAATAATAAAAATAACGATGAACCTGCGTAATCTTTCAAATAATTATACATACAAAGTGCCATCCAATTTGTAAGCATTTTTTCTACTACAGATTCTGTCCTCCTTAACATAAGTTGCGGATGCTTTGTATTAACTGCTTTTTCGATCAGTCTAAGTAATAAATTCATAAGTATATCAGTTGCATATTCCATTTTGCCCATTAATACTACCATCAATAATGAAGCGACGTTAACTTTGTCTCTAATATTGAAGTCTTTTTGTGCCTCTAAAGTTTCAATGAATGTTAATACAAAGTATTTATTATTAATAAGTTGCTCAAATTGCACCATTGCAGCGTCATAATTTGTGCGAGAGACATTGCTGCGTGATCGTGGATCATTCAATATCGGATGATCTATAACCCCAGGGAAAAAGACTTTCATAATGTAATTCTTATGGTCGAGCGTCGGTATGCCGGACGATTCGAGATCTGCTGTTAGATCCGTCATGTCGGTTTGCAATTCAGCAAATGCTTGTTTACATTCCATTCTAACGTTACTTTCGAGAGTATCCATCTGTATCTGAATCCTTTTATATTCTCTTTCAGCTTGCGTACTTTTTCTTCTATAAATGACCAAGACCAAAACGAATAAGAATATAAGACCAAAAGTACCAGCAGCGATACCTGCAATTGCTTCCGGTGGTATAGGATAGGACTTGATAACTTCATAATGAAGATATCCAATAGGAAATCGTAAACTCCTGCCGACACGTACCACAACCAAAGGTAAACCATTTTCTGTTTTTATTCCAAGCTCATCTGTATGATCGGGCTGTTGATCCGGCGGTGTGCAGACCAATTGAGACAAAGCAAGCGAAGTAACGTTACATGGCATCATACCCACGGTAACATTTACATCGGATTCGTCGCTTGCGTAATTAAGATTTTCTCCTTCAATAACTAACGTATCTCCTTTGTACAACTTAACATTACGTGGAAATGGAAAAAACTTCGGATCCTCGACGTATAATAATCGATTTCTGAGACTTTGAAAATGCTTTTCTAAGTCTCGAACAATTTCCACGTTGTCCATAATAAATGCAATTTTAAAGGATAATTGAGATTCTTTAAGCCTTATTGAATGTGAAATAGTATGACTACCTGTTGCCGTACGTTCGTTACGATGAAGAGATACGAATCTTCCAGCAACGCTAGGACTTGGACATTCCATTTGTGTTGGATTTAATACCGTACAAACGGTACGATTTACTGGTGTAGGTTCGGTATCAAAATAAACTTCCATTTCTGGCTTTTGGATGGTATCCAAATTTGTGCCATGTACGGTTATCATTCGCCCACCAGAAGCAAAGCTTTTCAATGGTTTGATCTCCATTATGGTAGGATCGTGTGTATAATTGAATGGATTATTTACTAATGTACGATTTGCTCCATCGATGGATAAAGTTAACTTGTGAATCCTCCTGACACGACCAGATTTACTTGTAACGCAAGTCAATCTAGTACTACTTGCTTGCGTTGCATTCACATGACACGGTAATTCGTCCAAATACGCAGATATCGTACTCCCAATATTTAAATACATACCAGTAATGGCAAGCTGTGTACCGCCACTTTGTGGGCCAACAGATGGATAAATACCAGTCAGGCGTATGTCCTTGTAATTAAACAACACTGCACTTTCTGTAAATCCAGCGTCATTACCGACAACAACGGAAGCTGTATCCGTTGCTTCATGTCGTCCTGTTCGACAGACAATACGAACGGACACTTCATAATCTACCAAGGTACATGGGGTTTCGCCAATATGTATTTTCCCTTCAACGTCACTTTTCTTTAATCCTAAATTACTCCCTTCTATGGTAACTAATGTACCACCTTCAATTGGCCCGCTTAGGGGTTTGATCATATCTATTCTTGGCTTTGGACATTCTGCAAATGGTGAATGTAAACAAGAATGTTTATACACACAACTATTTCCACACCATGTACATTCAAATCGAGGATCTCTCGTTAGACAGAGCGAACAGTCTGCATGTTCCCTATGCGATCCAAGTACTTCACATTTATAAAGAATTATTTTAGTCTGATCTACATAATGATTGGTATTCCAAACAACGGTCACTTCGGCTTTATATTTTCCCGTGAATGCTTCGTAAGAATAAACAGTTTTGTCACAAACTATAAAACGATTGCTGTCAACTCTTGCTTGAACTTTTAAATTAGCTCCTTCTATCGTAACGATACACTGAAAACCACTGTGCCCTACTTGTGGGTGTGGTAAATTTTCAACTTCTAAAATGATTTCTTTAGGTACACTGTTTGGCAACATCAAAGGTTCCTTTTGTGGTATGAATCTAGGGCAATACTGAGCTCCATGTGCAGCAAGATGTGCTTGATTCTATAAACAAAAAAATAAAAAGATAAACAAAAAAGAAAAAAGATAAATAAATAAATAAGAGTTTCAACATATTAAAATTGATTCTAAAAATAAAAAAATAAAAAAATAAAAAAATAAAAAAATAAAAAAAAAAATACATATATATATATCAATAACGTCATAATACACTTACATTTTCTCCTGATATTATACCTTGGCAACTTGTATTGTGTGTACATTTATTATCATATACACACCAACTGCATGCCCATTGAGATTTGACACACTCAGTACATACAGTATGTCTAGAGCAATCAAAAAATGCAAAGTTTCGAGAAACGAAATCCTTATTGGTTTCGCTTGAACGTACGGACAATGGCACGAGAACATGATCAGTTCCATCAAGTATATTAGGCCTCTCAGAAATGGGTGGTGTAGGACAGGAAAGACCAAAGCCAGTCATCAATGCATCAATTGGTTCTGCATTGCCAAAAACGCACTTGTAATTGGCACCTGCTGGTAATTCAGGCAATGTTCTAATTGTTAACTGAACCGTAATCATCTGATTGATAGGTAAATGATCAGGAAAGACTTGTTCAAAATCAATACACTGTTGACCAGTGCCTAAGGATAACCATCTTGGGCTACTATGACTTGCTTTCTGACAGTCACCTCTTACCGTACACCTACATGAAATAAACATAAAAAATTGAGCAATTTAAACAGTTTTCTTTTTTTATGTAAATTATTAAATTATTTTATTTGAAACAAAGTGTATTAGTAAGTAAATATAACATTTGTATTTACCTTTTTTCTAAGGAACACCAACCGCAATAAGGGTCTTTTGCATCAAGACAGCTACTGCAATTAGTGTAACTATTACAGTGCTCCACTTTGACTTTTGAGATTCTTGAAGTTGACAATACATATATATATTCCCCATCGGGTGAGATTGCTGTATCAGGTAATAATTTTTGACCTTTATCAATTACAATGCTTTCATAAACAAAAGCTTCAGTAGCAGAAAGCAAAACTTTCTTTAATATACCGTCATCAGTTCCAAAAAATGCTATTGTATGACTTTCTGTATTTGCTACAGTCACAGAAGTCACAAATGTATCAGGAAAATGTAAAATTGCTTGACTTACAATAGGTGACACGCCAGAAATTTTCAAGCCCACTTCACAAAAATTAAGGATATTCCCAGTGTTCTGTAATATGAAAATTTATGTATACAAAATGTGTGTATATGTGTAAAAATTACGTTAAAATATGAACTTGTACATACGCACAATGCACAAATCCACGTATACTTACACCGGCCGAAGGGCATTTTCCATCTTGTATCGGACCACTCACGTAACCCATGTTGCGATACTTAATAGTACCATTGAAACACATATGAATGTTCTCGTTAAATTTCGTCTCAATATCTTGTAGACTGTAGATACAAACTGCTGAACGAGATAGAGGTTCGTTTGTGATACCTTTACTCGGAGAAAACACAGAAACAAACACAGGATCACCAACAGATATCCCAAGTTGCATAGCTAAATCGCTTCCTGCTGATGCTACTTTAGCATCTTGTACCAAATTATAAAGATGTTGCTTTCCATCTCCTAAATCTACCATACATTGTAAAGTCACTTCCGTATAACTATCATAATTTTGATCACTTATACAAATCCTTGCCAATCTAGATGTATATCCCAATTCTTCTTGTTCAGGAAGATAAGATTGTTTCTGTACTAATACAAAGTATGCATAATCACTTGCATTAAACCCATAAACATATTTGACTAAAAAATGATCTCTATATTTAACATCGATGTATACTATCGATTGTTTGTTAAATGAAAATTCTGCAAATTCTAAATTACGAAGATTTCTGCTCGAAATGGCAGGTACGTCATGACGATAGTCTCCTCTATTGGTAAACGTTGTACCTACATACAGAATATTTGTCTTTCCCCATGGATTGTAACTTTGACCAATGAAAGCATATGTAGAAGATGTTTCATCGTTAGCTGCTACACTGAGAGGAATAAACTCTGGCTTGATAGATATGTTCGACATTTTGTACTTTTCACAAGCACCTTGACGAAGAGAACCACATGCAATTAAGGTCCGTGATTCAAGGTCAGCAATAAGAAGCTTGTTTACATTGTTCATTAGCGTAGTTGTATCTCTTGAAGAGCAGCCTGTGGCATGACACTGGGGATTATCCAATATTGGTCCTAAACATACAAAAAAAAACAAATTAAAAGCTCTGAAATCCATAGCTAATCTCTTAGACGTAAGAAGGCATGTTATATTGGAACTGACCTGTTGAAACATGTTCTTCAAGCTTAAGGTTGGAATCAAGCTGTAAAAGCCTGTTAACAGCTCCAATATAGAGTCTTTTTGTCATAGGATCTATGGCTAGATGATTAAATCTTAGGGCACCTTCTCTCGTTGTATTTGGATCTAAGGCATAAAATCCATATTGTTGACTTTCTTCTGCAGGAAACTGTGCAGTAATGTGAGGTGATTTATTCTCTTGTGGTGGCACGGTAGTACTAGCAGGGGTGTCTATTGCTGCAGTTACCAATACCACTAAAAACCAAGTGGCAACAGACATGGACGAAAATAATGATCCATGGAAGGACGGTTGCAGCAAGCACGGTGAAAATATCGATGAAATAGAAAATGTTCTATATTCCAGGAATCTCATGGTGTGTATACGACACCTAGCAAAGCACGTGCGCGCACGCTAGGCGTGTGCGTTTGTGCGTATGCAAGGCTAGGGTAGGAAGCTTAATAGATATAATCAGGGTATAATAACCGCTGGTAGAACGCCAATATGAATACGTTACTACCAGCAATATGTATGACCAGGTACCGACATGGTGCTCACTGTCCGGTACCCCTGAAACAAAGCAAAGATACAAATTTTTTTTTTGTTTTTTAATATGAACATAAATTTATACCTATTCTAAATTTAGAAATCAAAATTATCAATTATTTGCATTTTTTCTTGACAGTTTAATTTTTTATTACCACTTTAACAACTATTTAATCAACACAAAAGTCTAAATTTCATTGTTCTAACAAAAGATAAATGTAAATTCCCAAAAGCTTCTTATCAGAATATATGTTTACATTAGTTTCATACCAATAAATTAATCAATGCATCTCTGAAATGCAACAAATACGAATGATAATCGCGTTATAAAAGACAATATATAATTCGAACGAATGGAACATTTTATACGATTTTAACATCGATGACAGGCTAAGGCAGATGGCTTCACGCTTTTAAGGTAACATCGTATCACGCACCGCCCTTCGTTAATGTGGCCAGCAGAACTGTTCTTGACAGCTATAAGGCCACTGTCTTCGCACAAAGGCAAGGACCTTGTGTCTTGTAATTTAGCGCCCACCGTAACACAAAAACTTGTCGCGTATTCATAGATTATCTTCATTTGTCGAAATACGATTATCACCTCGCACAACAATACGATATATTAGAGGGCAAAAAATTATTAGGTAAAACAAAAGGAAAAAACAAAAAAACAAAAGAAAGACGTCTATCTAGAGAGAAAAAAAGGAGGAGGGAAGGCAGAGAGAGAGAAAGAGAGAGAGAGAAAGAGAGAGAGAGGAAGAGAGAGACAGAGAAAGAGAAAGAAATGCTTGCACATTTAAATCTTTGATAGTGTAGAATCGCAAAGAAGGGAATTTACATTATCAATCACTTGCATTTAATATTATCACGACACATGTAAAAAAAAAAGGAAAAAAAAGAACGGAAAAAAAGATGAAAAAAAAAAAAAAAGACAAAAAGAAAATGTCGTAAGACACATTTGAGTTTTGTACTTGCTCGAATTACCTTTTCCACGAAAGAGTGAAGACGTACGAAACAGCTCTAATGTGAAAGAATCCGATGTGAGGTGAGTCGCCACGGCTACGGCACATCGCGGATATGCACCATGTCTCGTGAGCCTCTATCTCGATCGAATATTTTCTACGACGGGACACCGTCGTACACAATCGAAAACTTGTTTTTCTATTTGACAAGAAGTTACGGTCCTTCGTGTCAGCTAGTCCGCACGTGTGTAAATTCGAACAATGTGTCCGTCGATTCACAACACAACACTGAACAGAGAGTCGGAATAAGCCGCCATTAAAATTCGACCGACGATAGAGCCTGCTCGCACGAGTTTAGGGCAAGTTGGGGGCCGTGGCTGCGGCATGCGCTCCTGTTCTCCCTCTCCCTTTCTCTTTCTACCACTCGTCCTTTTTTCACGGGCTTAGCCCTCTCTTCTTGTCCTCTTCTTCCCTCCTAATCACCGATACCCGTCGCACTTGTCGCCGCGTCCCGCTACTACAGCGCTTTCCATCGGATCAAATTGGAAACCATCTTGTTTCTTTGTCTTCCTTCCTCTCCCTTCTTTTACGACCGAGGGTGACACATAGAGTTCAATCTTTTAAAACTATCAAAACAATTACGTGCAATAAAACATTTAATGTTTACCTATGTTTTATTTAAACGTTAATAATTATTACCTGTGAACGATCATGATTTAAAATCTAATTCGTAAAAAGGAGAAAACTTTTAATCATTCGTGATTTAATTAAACGTACCTTTCTTCTTCCTGTAGATTTAAAAGACAAACCGAATATATTCGATATTTTCCTTAATTCGCCATTAACATATTATTGTCGATTAAGGGCCGAATGAAATGGACTGATCTTGTCACAATTTATTATTGTAAATATCATGTTATTTACACATATACCTAAGCTTCAAATAGCTTCGTAACGGATTTTTTATCGTGGAGAGAGAGAGGGGTTGTGAATTTTTGGCTGTATTATTTTAACGTATAACAAGTGTAGTAAATAACTAATATAGCAATTTATAATTAAGAGTATGACGGTCGCGACGGATAAGTATAACACGTATCAGATTATCAAATTCATTCTGCCGTCCCTTACACTGCCGTTAATCACTCCTATTTCATTATATTTGTTATACATTTGTAAAGCTGTGTATCAGTGTTATCTAATATTCACTTAAACGTTAGATTCAGATCGGTTATATCTGAAGGAAAAGTGTCTATATGTCTTTCTATAAGCCAAACTTATTTTAGCTAAGTAAATATTTTAGTATCAGAATTATTTATTACATAGAAACACACGCTTCAAGAGTCTTCTTAAGTTTTACGCGCGGTAAGCAATGTCGCTTGCCAACTGCGATCAGGAAGGCTTTTTCCAAACACCGTATAAAAATTATAAAACTGAAAGGGTGTTTAAAATTTATAGCTACACGGTTATCGTACATATGTGGTTTAATATACGTATCGGTGCTGCATCCAGCCTTCTTAGGCCCTCAATGCGACATCAAAATTAAAATTTGTTACCTCGCTTCTTTTTTCCATATGTTTTTCATAAAATTTTCTTTCCTTTTAGAATAATATATATGTATGTACATATGTATATATATATATATATATATATATATATATATATATACATATATATAGATATATATATCCACATATATATTTAGAGTCTTTAAGTTGTTTTAACTTATGTAAAATGAATATCGCATTTGACTTTGTATTTCTTTCTGTGGTCTTTATGAAAAATTTCTTCGACCTCTTTCCTATTTTCTTTCAGCAAGTTCACGATTATTAACAAGTTCATTCAGATATGCTGCTTCGCTGATCTCATATTGCCACTTATGTTTTATATTTCACAATTATATAGGGTCAATCTTCATAGAAGTACTAAGAATCATACTTGACTCTTTCGTACCCACATAAGCTTCTCACGAATAGTCGTGTGTCAATATGAAGCAGCGCTTTTGGGCGCTAAGTTTTATTCAAGTTACGTATCTCATTCTGCAAAAGGTGTACTGTATGACGCGTTAATAATATTGTCACTGATTCAAGACGGTTGATAATAATATTCGTAGTAATAATAGTAATTTTATCGGCTGTAATAGTACTGATGGTGATGGTGGTGGTGGGATATTGTGTAATCGTTAGACGAAGCTGTCTATCCCAATGAAGGGAAGTCGTTCTCATCGTCTACTTTTGGAGCATTTTGGCGACCACGCGGTGACCTTTGTTCATTTTGTGATGTCTGCAACTGTTAATGATTTAATCACGATTAATAAGATTTATAATATATTATTTGGCACAATGTGTTACTGTCAAACTAAAAGACATGTTCACAAAATTGCGTATATACTTACGGCAGAACCACGAGTATCGCTATCTCTAGGTGCACCGCGATTTCCAAATCCACGCCCGTTGGCGCGTTCACCGCGTCCACCGCGTCCTCCTCGTCCACGTCCACCAGAACCACGCCGAGAATCGCTAAACTGGATTTCAATCCCTAAAACACGCTTTTGCCTTCCAGCACGTTGAGGAAATTCCGCAGCTGCATCGAATTCCTCTTCTGCTTCTTCTTCTTCGTCAGAACCTTCTTTCTTTCGTTCAAGTGCATACATTTTCTTCCAACGAGATAAATCTTCCCCTTCACCAGCTTTGCGCAAGTTATATTGAGGCTTTGCCCTTGTATTTTGTCGGCGTTTCCATTCATCCAAAGTCAATTCACGTGACTCTTCTTCTTGTGGTTTTTCTTCAGTAGAAGCGTCCGCTGGTGTTTCTCCTTCTTTAGTTTCAGTCGGTGCCGGAGTAACTTCTGCTTCAGGTTTATCATTTGTCCAATCTTGATTTTCTTGATTCAAACTTTCTCTGATAAAATCAACAAATTAAATTATTTCTCGTGACAATATTTTTTATCTTAATGTTTTTAAATAGATTTACTTACTCTATTTCATCATTATGAGTCCCCCAGTTATGGCTGCCAGCACCATCTTTCTTATCGATTGGCTTAATACCACTGTGGACAGAAAAAACAATGTATGACCATTAACTGCTAACGAAATAGAAAAACATCATTCTATCGAACGATAAATGCGTCAATATTAATACGAACGTTTTATCGGATCCTGATTGACGATCAAACTCGCGTTTTCCACGATTATCATAACCACCTCTACCTCCACGTGATCCTCCACGACCTCGACCCATTCCACGCATACCTCCGCGTCCCCTGCGCTCGCTATAATCACCCCGTTGATTTTCATTCGAATTTCGAAATTCACGTGTTTCACGACCTTCCCTAAAATTAGTAAGAAATATATGATATATACCATGTACACATACATATACACATATATACACCTTTTTATAACCAAAATAATTTACAATTATGTTTTTCCATCTTATTTTTGATAATATATAGAAAATATAATAAGATAGAAAATTTCATATATTTCAAGCATTTAATGTATGTAACATTCAATGAACTAACCCACTGGGTCCACGTCTGATCTCTCCTTGGTTACGGATTGTTCGTTCTCCATCTTCACGATTACGTCTGTTGTTACGCTCCTCCCTAGACTCTCCAGAGAACTTTACACTACGATCTCCGCCAGTTATCCTTGGTTGAGATAACTTCTTCTCGCCTATACATACAAATGCAAGATTTGATTTCTTTCGATGTCAAATTTAATCAAAATCATTAAAACGTGAAACAAATTTCAAAAATTTCTCTTGGAAAATATTCTTACTAAATTATATAGTATTCTTCGTATTTTTACTTTTTAAATCTTAAGCAATCGATGATAATCAACAAAAAAGTAATAATAAACATAAGTCGAACACAAAATTATAACAAAACAAATAAATAGAATGTTTCTTCAAAATAAACTTGTAATTTAGAACATTTGCGAAAGTTATACTTTATAAATAAATACGTTTATAAATAAAACATATATATAATGATTTCGTTAAACACTGTATGAAAAAAATCAAAAATGAAATAACATATTAACTTTTATTAGGTCTCTTGTTCAAAAGATATATCTATATATTCTTAGTAATATAATTGTGTGAGTCATTGCAAAAGTTAAAAATGTAGGTAGAAATAGCGCTATGATATTACATATATTAAAGTTACAATCAATAGAAAAATAACGAAAATACTTAATTAAAAGTAATATGAAAGTAAATCTATTCGAAAAATTAAGAGAAAATGATCATAAGCAGAATTATATACGAAAAGCACATGGGGCCACGAGGAACAAACCGGCGGCCATAATACCGCGCACGAGGCCAGAGATGGTTAAGAAATGAACTAACCTTGATCTTTCTTGATATCCTGGACTTTCGATACCTGCTGCTGTGCATCTTTTATCACACGATTTTTTTGCGTCTTATTACCAGTAGATTTCTGTGTATCGGATTGCTTACTCTTATTTTCCTTCTCCGAAAGCTTATCTTTTTTTTTAGCTTCTTGCAACTTTTGTAAGTATAATTGGGGGTCCTCGGATTCATCCCAGGCAGAAGCATTTCCAAACTTATTTGTTACAGTAATGCTGTATTGATTTTCCATAATGCTTCTTATCCTCTCTTCGTCGAGGATTATTCGAAAATTTCACGGCTACTCTTGAGCCCTTGTGTAACAGAGACATTCAATATTTCAATATGGCCGTGTTGAAGATAGTTCACCACGAGGTCTGCGTTCGGGGAGGGACCGCATAATTGTCTTGCACCCAGCGCGCCACTTCCCCACCAACATTTCCAATAATAATCATTTTAAGTAATTTCCTATTAAAAAATATCGCCGAAAAATGAGTTTTTAATTTTAGTCTTATAGAATTATCAAAATACCGGCTCTACTTAATAAAGTACAGTTCTTTTTATAGTTGTTGTATTTGGAGAAATTGGCATGTTTTTCATGAATCCAGTTAATACCGATGAAAATAGTTTTACAATATTTTTAATCATACGCTTTTGAAAAAATTTCTTTATAATTATCGAGACTTTTCATTCAAATGATATTTTGTTATTTTTAATAAAAATTAATAATGCGGATAGAAGCGCGTCAGAAACGCGGGAAATTTCATATGTGTGCTCCTTGAAGAAGATAACTTTAACTTTTAAGCTTATGTATATAAGAGGAATACATAATGTTTGCCGCAATATATTACAAGAGAAAAAGAATAAAAAAGAGATATCTATTGTATTAACATTAATAATAACGTATCAATTTATTTCGCGTTTTATTCAATAGCTGTACTTCCGTTTGCCGTATTTGGTATGATTTGTATATGTTAGTTTACGAAATGATGTCGTTCTATGTTAATATAATTTTACGCATAACTGAACAATATATTTAGATTGAAATGAAAAAATCATTTCAATATTTTTACATTGAAATATTATTATATACGTATTACATTTTAGAAAATTTATTCTAAAACATTAAATAGGGAGGAAGGAAAATTTAGAATTGGCCAATCAGGATCAATGGAACTAGTTTGGAATTAACCAATCAGGATCAACGTAACTAATCAAGTAACTTACTTATCCGCTATTCATTGATCGATTTATCTTTAATTTGCCAATCAGAGAGCTTCTAATCGAAGAACGTGATTGGGTATTTTTAAACTGTCATTATGGCGAATAAGATGCCGCGAATTATCGAGAAGAAACATGATTGGCCGATCGCCGGATATATAACAGCTTAGTCATTTATTAAAGAAAGATCAC